GGTGTGATAACTATTTTTCCACATAGAGTCATTTCATAAACTGAACACTCTCCATCATAAAACTAGTTTTGATGATAACAATATGGTATCTAATGAGCTACCAAATACCCTGGTATGGCCGAGAATGGGGAAGGCCCGCCCCTCTCGAAATGCTCTCACATGGTCACGCGTATATAGCCTCTGCCAGGGAAGTCCTACTCACTGCCTTCTCGCCGAGAAGGTGTTGTTTACGAAATTGAGAGGACGAAAAGCGAATATCTGGAGCTTTAACCAAGCCAATCGATGCGGTGAGTCCACCTATGGAAGTTGTGAAACCCTCATTCCAAACCAATCGTGCACATGGGCTCCAGTATCCTGAAGGAACAAATAGCGTATGAACCAACTGTTAGTCACCGGCTTACATGGGACTGCATCTCCTTACGGTGCTACACTGCCTTGTAGGTCAGACCTTTAGGTCGAAGGCTCGGGGTGTGGCCCCCTAAGAAACCCACCTGCTTCGGTCTGGGCACCCGGGCAGTATCTCAGCCCACACACAAATAGAATGAAATGACGGTATTTACTGAAAACACTATTCTCGCTTCGACTAACAGTCAAACAATTCACATTATTGTTATTATTATTATTATTATTTACCACGTCATTTATTCACTCCATTTTATTCCTACTCTATCTATCCTTATTTTTCGGCTTATACAGCAGCCCGACTATGGTGGAAATTCGGCTCTATCTAAACGATCTCGAGTCATTGCCTGGTTGTAAATTGTATGCTACCACCACATACGAATACTGAAACAGCTTTTCTGAAACCACATGCACCATTCAAACTGGCTGCCTTCAACGTTCACACACTAATGCAAATCGCACAACAGATAAGGCTGGCTATGTCTTTAGAAAGTCTTAATATTGACGTTTGTTGTCTGTCCGAGACCCGTATTCAAGACTCTGGTGAAGTACTACAAATTCGCACTCGATCTGTCGCTTCAAAAGGCTTGTTTTACGTGCGTTTATCTGGGAACACTGTGGCATCTTCGTCTGGTCTTGCTGGCGTTGGTGTCGCACTAATCGCTAGAGCTGAGGCAGCACTAATCGACTGGATCCCCATTAACAGTTGGTTATGTGCTGTTAGATTAGAAAGTTCCATCAAAGTGAGAAGAAATCGGCGTGAGAAACGATGTCTTTTCTTCATCTCCGCCTATGCCCAGACAGATTGCAGCCCGGATGCAATCAAGGACGAATTCTATCACCAGTTAACTGTTCTCCAGAAAGTGCGTTCGACAGATATTAAAGTACTAGCTGGAGACTTGAATGCTCAGGTCGTGCGTCTAGGTACAGAAGAGAGTGGTTTAGGTAGCCGATGGGGACTTGTTGGTCGCAGGACAGATAACGGGGACCGTCTACTGAAACTATGCACAGACCACAACCTGTTTCTGGCTAGCACTAACTTTCGGCACATTTATCACCGATGTGCCACCTGGCGTCCTCCCTCCGCATCTCAAGCCTGGACTCAGATTGATTAAATCGCGATCAGCTACCGCTGGCGTGGTTGTCTACAAGACTGGCGCTCCTTTTGGACTCTGATCATACCCTGATCTGCGCCAATCTCACCTTACTTTTCAGTGGACAACGAAGTGACCGCCACCACAGGATTGATATCAGCAAGTTGGTTGCAACTTCTGTTGCTAGTAAGTAACGAACCGAGCTAGCTTCTAGGCTAGCTACCATTCCACCGAAAAGTATGGATGAGCATTGGTTGCAATTGCATGACGCCATGAAAATGGCGGGTCAAGTCAGTTGTGGCTTCGCGAAACGTCCCGCTTACAAGCACTGGGTTTCTTCAGGCTCCTTACAACTCATCGAAGCCCGTCGGTCTACTCCGGGTGACCGTGAGTTTGGCCACAGACGAAGGATGTTACGTAATGAAATCGGGAAAAGCTTGCGTAAGGACCGAGAAGCCTAGTGGTCGGAGCGTGCCAATGAGCTGGAAGCAGCAGCTGCATCTGGTAATTACCGGAAGTCCTATCAATTCATCCGAGCCACTGGCAGCAAGAAGTCTAACATCCATCGACGTCTTGGACGATGGGTAAAATTCTTCGAAGGGCAGTTCAACTGGCCTGCTGCTCCGGCAACATCGGTCAGACTGTCCTGCCCCCCATGACTGGTGACGACTGATCCACCAAATGAGGCGGAAGTCCGCAAGGAACTCCAACTCTTGAAACGCCACAAATCGCCGGGCCCAGATGACTTACCTCCGGCTCTTTTTAAAGATGGTGGTGACTTTCTGACTAAGGGACTGACGACGTTGTTTACAAAGGTCTGGGAACTAGAGAGTGTTCCAACATCATGGAACGAGACGATAGTTGTCCCTATCTTTAAAAAGGGTTCACGTCGTTCCTGTAACAACTATCGAGGGATAAGTCTACTTCCGATTGCGTCCAAGCTATTGGTTTCCGTTATACTTCGTAGGTTGTTCAAAACCGGAGAAAGATTGACTCGCGAGGAGCAGGCTGGTTTTCGTTCCGGTCGAGGATGTGTTGATCATATCTTCGCCCTCCGCCAAATGTTAGAACACCACCATACTTAACAAAGGCCAACAATCGTAGTGTTTCTTGACATCAGGGCTGCCTTCGATTCGTTGGACAGAACTGTTCCTAAAAGCCCTATACACAAACACCTCAGGCAGAGTGAGGGCATACAATCACCTTTCTCCATTGTTCCATTCAAGCAGTGGGGTTAGGCAGGGTTGCCCAATCTCACCATTCCTCTTCAACTTTGCCATCGATGACATTCTGGAAACAGCTCTGGCGGATGTAAATAATGGCAATGTGGATCTGTTACCTGGAGAAAAACTTCTCGACCTTGAGTATGCGGATGATATTGTCTTACTGTGCGAGAATGCCCAAGCCATGCAATCCGCAGTTAATCAGTTCGCAATCAGTGTCCGTAGGTACGGTATGTGATTTGCTTCTCCGAAGTGGAAAGTACTTCTACAAGACTGACAGGATTCTAATCTTGTACTCACTCTGTATGGTAAGCAGATAGAAGTAGTCGAGAAGTTCGTGTATCTGGGTAGCTGCATATGTGCTGGTGGTGGCGTGACAGATGAGATCAATGCACGTATAGTGAAAGCCAGAGCGGCTTATGCCAATCTGGGCCATCTTTGGCGCCTTCGTGATGTTAGTCTGGCTGTGAAAGGTCGGATCTACAACGCGTCGTTGAGAGCAGTTCTGCTCTATGCTTGTGAAACCTGGCCTCTCCGAGTTGAAGATGTTAGACGACTCTCTGTGTTTGATCATCGCTGTCTCCGAAGGATTGCTGACATCCAGTGGCAACACCATGTTAGTAATGCAGAGGTTCGGCATCGTGTGTTCGGGCACAGAGACGATAATTCCATTGGTGTCACCATCTTGAAACACCGACTTCGGTGGCTCGGACATGTTTTACGAATGTCGTCCCAGAGAATTCCACGTCGTGCATTATTTGCTGACGCTGGGACTAGTTGTAAAAAGTTGAGGGGTGGTCAGTGTATGACATGGTGTCGTGGTTTGAAGGAAAGCTGCAAAGGGTTGGCTTCGGTTGGTCCTTCTCGACTCCCTGGCTGGGGTCCGAGAGATGGTGCAACACAGTGGCTAGAGACGTTATCAGATATGGCTCAGAACAGAAGCCATTGGCGATCCTGCAGTAAAATTCTTTTATTTTCTTCATAAAAAGCGGTTGTAACTTCCTTAGCTGAAAGAATTCTTCTGGCTGTACCTTTCTGTTCCCTCCACTATTATTATTATTATTACGCTAATCTGTGGTCGTTATTGTTCTTTTTTTCCTATAAGCACCTTACATTCTTTTTCTCTTCATTGTTTTGTGTGGCGCATATATATCTGGTGCCCTCTTGTATCAATATTTTTGTTCAAATAAAATAAAATAAATATATTTAGAAACCGTATGAACATTAGAACTGAAGTTTAGAAGTGCTTGCCTTCTCGAAATACGGCATTTACCGTTCTCGAACGCGTAAACATCACCTGACATTAAAATTATTTCTATAGTATTATTACCGAATATGGGCAACTTCATAAAGACAACGATAATCGAACAGGAAGCCCTTAAATATTCTCACCTTGGTCATGTCTTACAGCCGAAAACCAGAAATAACCATTACAGAGTACTAGACGTTCAGTCTTTTAAAATCAGTCCATGTTTTATAGAGTATCACGATTCTAAGTTAAACTAAACAACAGTCATTCACAGAGTATTGTATGGCCAGAAAAGTTTGACAAGTTTTCTGAAGTAGAATAAATGTCGACCAACTTCTACAAAATACTGTAATGTGATATGAAATTATGGGGTCTATTTATCCACATAAATATGGACACAGGGTGTGATGAAGTTGTTCTATAGACCGTCCATTTAACCTAGGATTTACCTTTACCTTCGAAGTTTATTGTTTAAATACGATGAGCAGGTGGTTAGTGCCACGTGACATTATAATTATGGTTCAGTCCGAGCAAGTATAAATGACAGGAAAGCAAAAACTCAAAGGAGTCTCAGTTATAATCAATTTAGAGCCTGGTACAACCGAGAGTTAACCCAAGTTGTTATACTAATTCCATGTATTTTACAATGTGTAGCTTAACATTCTCTATGTCGACCCACATCCAATACCGCTAATTGTTTCTTAGCTAGATCACGAACGGTGTTTACCGTATACATTCAAGCATCTATTACATGAGACTTCGAGTGACACAAGCTAGTTAAGTTGAATTAATACACAATCTTAGAAGTCAGTAAATAAATGTTAGCAATAGATTAAATGTGGTAGTTTACAAAAACAACTAGTAGTAATGAATACGCAGAAGTTAGTAAATAATCTACATAAATAATTAGTATAGTATCATGTACATATTTAAATAAGTTAAAAACAAGTATACATTTTTGTTTTAGTATAAGTTCACAACAATAAAATTTAATTCAGTTGAAACATAACAACATAAAGTCAATATACTAACCTAATTCTCCAGCCGCAATATCCGTCATTAATGGATCAGTTAAATTTAATTTAGGCTGTTCATCGTCGCCATTATCAACATTAACATCATTATCATTTATAATAATACTCGGAAAGTCAATATTTCTATCATGTACTTGGTTTATACTTCTACTTGCCATGTGACTGAGGTTATCTGAGAATGGATCACAGCACCGACATGAGCATGTAATGACTTGTCTACAAGGGAATATTGAATTTATAGGATATATCTGATTCGGTGAGCAAAAGAGTGAGTTTGTTGATTTTGGTAAAGCAAATGCAGACTGTACAGAATTACAATGAGCAGTGGTATTGGCCGATATCAGTCTTTCATACCTTCCAGAGAGTAAATAATCCATATCACAGTCTAAATCATCACACAACCTTGATTGTTCTTTAAAATCTGAAGACCAAGAAGACATTTCCATGTAGAGTTAAAGATAGGGAACCAAGAACTAATAATTTTACAGTAAATTTATCCGAATGCTATTTTTTGCTTTCAATTGTTGTTTACATATGTACCAGTGAGTTTACATTGAGCTATAATAATAAAAAAGAAAATAAGCATTAATAAAGGGTGAATATATATATATATATATATATATATATATATATATACTGGAGCTTAGTTGGGTAGGTGTTTAAGTCCTTAAACATCAAAAACTGTCGATGACTTGGTAAAAATATTAATACCTTAAAATTTTTGGATACTGCTAGAAACTTTCCAACTAAAATGAACCCGATCTTTATATGGCTGTGTTATCAATAGTCAAAATCAAATAATGTAGTTTTTCATGTAGTACTAGTCACTAAATGAACAATAAATCAAGGAATTACTGAATAGATTTCGCCTCAGTACGACCCATTAAGTGAGGACTAATTAGCTGGGGAGTAATAACGCCACCCATAGAATACGTGACTTATTTAACCAAGTACATGCACGTTGGAATGAATTAGTTGTTACACACTATTAAGGCTGTGGGTACTACCGGTGACAGGGTATCAAGGATTATCTACCAAAAAAACTAAATATAGACAATATTAGTCGTCTTTTTTACCATATTTTCAAACAAATCGACATGCTGGTCAGTTTATTTCAAAATTTGTTTGATTAAAAACAGAGACAGACAGACATCAACATACAGCCTAGTACAGGTCTGTGTTGGACCAAGTTCCCATACCACAGTACGACCAGATGGAAATGACAACAGACATCAAAACACTGTGGTAGCAATAACAGTGAGAAATAACAAACCTTGGTAATATCGTTTAGAAAAATGGAGTGGAGAAGTGTGTGTAGAGGGACACCTGGATTCAAGATTGAGAAGATAAAAAAGAATGCACCCGCACTAGTCCCATCAATTCTGATTCATGACATCTTAGGTTTTCAATTATTGATTAGCGTGATCATGAGAACCTTAACCAGATAGTCCTCATCTACTAACATGGTTCGCACAAACAGTCGATGACTTCATAGGCTGGTGTTGCGTTCGGTTTGTCCGTCCCTATCTTTCTTCTAATCCACTTTAGCATTATTGGGCATCGCTTGTCGAAGCAGGTGGTTGTTAGGCATACGTAACAGAGGTCCTAACTACCCCAATCGGTGAAAATTCTCTACCTTATCAAATGGTTTGTCACCTATGCCAAGTACCATTTGCCTAACCTCTACATCACATACTCAGACCAAAAACGACAAAATTCAGGCGTGATGTTGAAGTATTACTGATTGATCTAGATCGTGACTGCAACAAGACGTTTTGCATGGATGGATACCGTATCTGATGAGACTTTCCCACTAATAAGTCATTTGAACTATCAACCAAATCAGTCAAAAATGGAAAGTAATGAAGATACTAAAAACTCAACCAAATAAACCAGTGCATAATTATTTTAACACCATCGACTGCAAGAATTTTAAAATTCCCAATCGTTCTATTTAGGGAAAAACTTTGACATAGCAGAAAACCCAGAAATTTCACCAGGTCTGGAGAAAATACTCAAAGTTTTGAAGAAATATTGGGTTTTCCTCCACATTCCCACAAAATTTTATAAGACTTTAAGGTTTTCCTCAAACTTTGGGGAAAACTAACATATCTTTTACGACTTTGGGAAAACCACAAAACTTAACCAAGATAGTGTGAGATTGGGTTAATAGGTTGGATGATAAGGAAATATTAGTACGTCTTTAGTTTATTATCCTCTGACCGAAACGCCAACTGATGTAAAAAAATGAAGGGTCAAACGCGTACTCACATTTTTTAGTGCTGAAAAGTGGAAAGAGTGGTATGTCTATTTTCAATAGGTTACATTTGAACTATCACTTTCCCAAAATTTGATTCCCCATGTCTCGTTACTTTTTTTGTCTTTTCATAATCTGAAGATGTAGAAAATTTTGGGATGAAGATGTAGCTACCACTAGGACGGTCACTACATATAACTTTTGGTCAGGATTTTAGAAGAGGCACTTAGGTACTACGGAGTCAAGTCGTATGAAAACTATGAGATTGACAAGTTGCTTAAATTGATGTACTTATCTCCTACGAACACGGTTAGACATCAAAGCATCTCTATGGTTCAGAAAAAACTCTGACGAGACATTTCTTAAGAACAAAAATACACACTCTTGTAACTACTTCAAATTAATTGTCATTAAGAAGGTCAATTAATACCGGCAGAGTCAAGAAGTTAAACAAAGACAATCACCATGACTAAAAAGTCTTCAAATAGAAAGACTAAACAAACATTTTTGATACTAATTTCAAAATTGCTAATTAAGGATTTTAAAACGATATGTAGGAACAAAAGTGACAGGATTTATTGGGCATAATTCAAACTATCTCAAATGACTTTGCGTAGAGCTTGTAAAGACCAGAAGGTTTCTTTGTCCTCAGTTTTTAGTGACAAGCGATTCTTCATCTCTTAAGTCCAATTGAATGGGGTTTCTCCGGTCACTCGGCTTCAGTATTCCTGGTGGTGATGAAGATGCCACAGGTATTCGGAGTTTGACAACGCTTTAACCAGTAACACCGGGTAGTGTTATCTAGATTAATGGATTTCGCATTTCCACGAAGTTGGTTGGTAAGGGGTTTCATGAGTAACGCGCATTTCGGTATGAATCGTCTATAAAAACTTACCAGACCGTTAAACGTGCGCAATTGCTTGATGGTGGTCGGTTCTGGGTAATCTAGAATGGCCGCCACTTTCGTTCTAAGGGGTCGAATGCCATGCGCATCTATAGTGTGTCCTAAGAAGTCTAAGGATTCGGTTTTGATTTGGCATTTCTGAATGTTTACGGTAATGCCATGTTTTCTTTAGTCGGTCGAAAACAAGGTCCAGATGCTGGAGATGTGATTCTTTGTCCGGACTTGCTATTAGGCAGTCATCAACGTATGCATGTACGAAGTTGAGACTTCAAAAACCGTCATCTATGAACCTTTGGAAAGTCTTTGCCGCGTTTCTCAGACCAAAAGGCATTCGCAAAAATTCATAGAGTCCGAAGGGCGTTTCAATAGCGGTTTTTGGAATGTCTTCAGTGGCCATAGGAATTTGGTTATAAGCTTTTACAAAGTCGATTTTTGAAAAGACAGTTGCATCTTTCAAGGTAGCTGTCAAATCGTGAATGTGGGGCAACGGGTAACGATCGGGAATGGTTTTTGCATTCAATCTCTGATAGTCACCAGTTGGACGCCAATCGTTGCTGTCCTTTTTAGGGACCATGTGCAACGGAGATGAACATGGGCTATTTGACGGTCGTATGATTCCTAAGTTTATCATATGGTCGAACTCGTTTTTCGCCAACCTTAACTTTTCAGGGGCCAGTCGGCGTGCTTTCGAGAAGACAGGTGGTCCTGTAGTCGCGATGTGATATGTAACATTGCTGGTTACACACGGCAATTTCGGTTGCGATTGGTAAATGCCAGAATATTTATCGAGTAGTGGTTGGTAGAAGGGGTCTATAGTGTGCTTAATAGTGACTGGAGATAACCTGCAACCAGAAAAAGAAGTCAGGCAAACTGATAAACTAGTGTTTCCGTCTACTAACCTCCGTTTGCGCGTATCGATGATTAAGCTGTGGTGTTGTAGAAGGTCCATACCAATGATTGGCATAGAAACATCTGCAACAACAAAGATCCAGTGAATGGGTTTGCGTAAACTCACGTTAAGATAAACATACCTTCTGCCATACGTAGCGATAGGCTTTCCGTTTGCCGCCTGTAGATTTAAAACCGGCTCGTGTAGCCGGTCGTTGGAATTCGCTGGGAGAACGCTAACCTCTGCGCCAGTATCTACGAGGTAGCGAACTCTCGTTATCACATCAGTGACATATAAAAGACGGCTATGTTCGCCGGCTACGGTCGCCGTTAACGCGTGCCGGCTTGGAAATTTCCCGAAACGTTCTTCGCGTCGACCGATTTCGCGTTGGGAAAATTGCAGGGTTTTCTGCAATTTCTGGTGGACTTTTCGTACTGGTTATGGTACCAGCACCAATCAGGATTATCTGTCTCTCGAGTTCTAGATACAGATCGCCTACGTGATGTGCTTTTCCGCGGGGTAAGTGATGGTTTACGATCGTTACAGAGTTTGTGATAACGCGTAAGTGTATGACATAACTGTGTTATGTCATTCTGGGTCGTTTGAGGCTTTTCTTTGACTGAAAAAACCTCGGCGTCAGAAGATCTAGTGATTTCGAGAATGCGGTCGGTAGATGCAGCTAGCTCGTCTACGGCGTTGTTTTGAAACGAGACCAAAACAGCTTGCACCTGTTGAGGAAGTTTGGATAAGAAAAGTTGTTTGAATAGGCCGTCATCGAAGGTTCTTTGGCCAATGACTTCTCGCATTCTTTGCAACATGTCTGTGGCAGAACCGTGTTGCAGGTCGATGTTGTTGAGGAGTTGATCTAACCTTTGTCGATCGGTTAGATCTCCGCGTTTAAGGATGGCATGTTTCAGGGTTTGGTATGGATCAGAAACATCACTAGTAAACATACTAGGTGTTACGTACCTGTTAAATTCGTGCGGTAGTGCCTTGACTACTGCGAGAAATTGTGTACGCGTATCGTTCACACCGTACTCAAAGAAGTCGGCTTCTGTGTCACAAAACCAGGCTTCGATGTTGTCTGGCCGATTCACTCTACCGTGATAGTCGACAATATACATTCTGTAGTGGCATTAGGCCCTACCACCAGACAATATTGGGAAATAGGCATTCAACATTGAACGCGGAGAAATACAGAAGAATGGAGATGGCGGGGATAGTAAATTGAATAAATTGAAGTTGGACGTATGGCATGGCTCGGCCATGCAGGCGTGGTCCCTGCTAAATATTACGTTTTATCTTTTATTCATATTAAATATATTGTTCCATCTCTAGTCTAAGATTGTTCTATATCATGTATTAGTAATCGTTACGGCTCAGTGAGTTGATGTATATGATGATGTGACTTCCACGTAAGATCTTATAGATTAGGCAGTTACATCATAACAAATCTACAATTTTAGGATTAGGTCTATTATTAGAGCAGTACTAATATCATAATAGACCGTAATTCTACAATTCCAGGACTTCTGAAGAACATATCTGAACTAGGGATAGAATAATATATTTAATATGGAAAGAAACAAGTTAAATAGAATGATCACATATGCGTGACCAAGTCATGCTGTACTGATTCTGAGTTTCTGCGTCCGCTATACTTGAACTTCTACTCGTCTTCAATGTTTAATGTATATCTTCCCAGTTGTTGTGCGTTCGGCTTCAAGGATATTGTGGTTGAGAACCAATACCGCAACAGATTTGAATCTCTAGTATCATGTCCATCACTGTGTCGACGCATAATACGGAGATAACGTGTCTCAATTGTATGAAATGCGTTGGATGCGTAGGTCGGAGAAATGTCACTGGATTCTAGCCAAATTATCCGGCAGCCGCGCCACTCGATGTCAAACTGTTTACCAAACCTTGTCAAGTGCAACCAATACAAACTAGTTAATTACATGGCTGGCACTAGTGGTCTCACTCTGTAACTTATACCCAATCTTACTAATATATTTCTCTGACAACGTCCTTTATGTTGTTCGGTCATCAAAGCATCCATAGTACCTAAATTGATTCACGTTAGATATTAATCATGGGATGTGACATCGACTTCAGCTGGCTGTTCACACTATTTCCGTCCAACTCAGACGGGCCTACAATTGTGTATGTTAGTAATCTATACATGTATTTAAACAAGTAAAAAATAAATTATGACCAAGAAGCACAGATGTAACTGAAAATTCCATGACCACAAAAAGATTTATCAACGTTTATCTGGATGTAAATGGAAAATGTAGAACAGGTAGCACGACAACAACAAAGCTCGATTATCACTCTAAGAATCTTTACTGGTGCCACTAAAAATCTGTTGTCAAACCAACCAAATAAAACGCTTTGGGGAGGTATAGGTTTGCAGTTCACCTTAAGAAAATCCTCTGTTTTGTTTAGCTCACATAACCATATTCAAGTATCTGAGGACAATTACAAGTATTTGAATCATTATGCGAAATAGGAATCCCCCGAATTACGAAATTTAAAACAGGTAGAACTAGGCGAGCGCAAACGAACGTAATGCATTTAAAATTCAAAATTGAGCACACATCGAGTGCCAAGGGATCATTAGTTAACCAAATCACCACAGGAAGGTAGTTCTAAGACTGCTCATTGTTTGGTCGTACATGTTAGTGTTGTTGCATCGTGACCTGCAGGGTACCATACAGACATCCTAAAGACCTATGTCTATCTGTTTTCGTCACATACATTCAAATTAAATGTAAACCAGTCGTCCAACATTGTGTAATTTCTATATAATCTGTTATAAACATAACACTTGCCTGATAGAATTTGCGTAAGAATATAGTTGATAAATAGGGAGGTCAGATCATTAGGTTAGTGTTCAACGGGCTAGGGAGTCGCTGAACAGTGAAGTCTTACATAATAGTATATAGATTAGACAGTTATGTTCTTCTAACTAGCTTCAGTGAATTGTGAACAAGTAGAATACGATATATAAACTTACTCACCAAAAAGCCTTTATGTACATGTATACCAACGTAAAGATATCCGAGTTAGCAAATAGTATCACATATTAAATTCCCCGACAAAATTTGAGAAATTTTCGGGTTTGTCAAATTCTACCGTCAATTCGTATATTTTTGAATGCGAAATGCTCATTCACTTATCGATGTCTAGGAAGAAATATTAAGGGTTTCAAGCTGATATATGGGACTTCTGATGCTATTGAACTCATCAAACACTAAATGGCTTAGCTAACTGCCCCGAACTACTTAAATTCGAATATTGAACTAGCCTTCTGTGATAAGCACCTTCGACAAAGCAGCCGATGGGGTCACCAACCAGAAGTTTAATAACTATCGACAGCTGGCCAAACTTTTATCAAAAACTTTACCTACCACTGAGATCAAATATTCTGGTTTAAGACAAGAACTAATCACATCCTATGAGGCTATTCAGCAAATATATTTTCAGTGACGTTATCTAGTGAATAACACTATCTGGGTAGTCATTTATCTGTAGGTTGATAGTGTAAATTATCCATCATGTCAGTAAAAATGGCATTTGCTTGTTGTGC